ACTAAAGATGACAAAATCATGGTTTTTGATAATTGTTTGTTGGGTAAAATGCCCCATGAACAGCCTTGGTCATTTTAAAACAGGGTCTCCTGAAACTAGTTGCTACTTTACAGAACAACATGCTGGAGGCCAAATACATTTTATCAAAAACAATTAGGTGAAGTGTCTCGCCAAAGGACATCAACCACAACAGAAAAAGCACTTTCTGTAATCTCACCAGAAACATAAACCTCTTAAAGTAAGGATAAAAAGGGACACCACTGACAATTGAGATTCACAAATCAAAAGCAATATTTATAAAAGCTGGTCAGAAAGATCCAATCACAATATTTACATAAGTAAAATGATAAGAATTTACAAAATACTGTACACTGACCATTTCTTATGTAAAACCCTGATCATTCCTATGTTTCTAGAGTTACAACCAATCGGAAGCCTCCAAAGTGTTTCCATGGTAACAGCTTCAGAACATTTAATATGTCAAATTATATGCTATATTTAGCATTAGAATTTGATCAAATCTAAATGAAAAGTGAAAGGACACAACTTTATATCATAGGGATGTAGCATACCAAAAGAGAAATATTGCTTCAGTACTTTTTTAGATACACTAGACACGATGTTTTGGACATATGGTCAGACAGTCGGACAATCAGACAGGGTGATTCCAATATACCACTCATCAGACTCAAAATCAAATGGGCACAGCAAAAGACCAAGGGGAACCTAAGAAATAGCAATAACAGAAATTGTTTACAGAGGGACCAGCCATGGACCATGAACCACAGATCTAATGGATGATGGTGGGCTAAAAATATCTACTCTAAAGCCAACAGTTTTACAAAAGGTTAGAAATCATGAACGTACATGTTTTGCACTGCCTTAACTCAATGGAAAGCATCAATATCAATTTGCACTGATTTCTATACAATAATTACATAAAACCATGTATCAATTTCAGAACGCTGTTCAACAATAAGTGTCAGAAATGAATTCAATGTCACAATATCAAAACTCATGCTTCCTGTATTAAGTATTTAATGCAAATGATATTTTTACTGCTAGGAAAGGTAATGTTAAAAAAAATGTATACCATCCATCATTTTACCAGGAAATTACACGGATATTAACAATACATAGCTACTGCTAATCTACTGATATGCCAACAATCACTTTAATAATTTACTGACTACCTGTATCAAATACACCATTTACTGTTCCTTATCAGTGACTCTTAATGAGGAGACTTGTACATAAATTCTGCTCCTCAACTTTGCTGATAATTGACCTGGTGCAAGTTTAATGAAACTTCAGAACCAATCATGAAAAGACCACAGAAGTTATTGTATTCCTGGTTAAATCAATTATTTCACCAATTCCATGTACAAATCATCAGCAGCAAGCGGCTACAGACTTAAGTTGACATGGAAACAGAAACAAAACAGCAACCTAAAAGTAAAGGATGTCTTGCTGCCTTTTAAGAGCATAAAAACCCACAAACATTATCTACAAAATATATATGTGACCAGAGTGTTCCTTGCTCAATTCAATGATAGTATAAAGTGTTTGACGAATCTTTTAGACAACATCTGAAATTCAATTTATAAACTCTCATTATATTTCTAAAATTTGGAAAGATGCAATTTAAAAAAAAAACACACAAAAAAATACCACTTAGCAGCATGTTAACTTTGCAGTAATTCTTGGAGGAAGACTTCAATTTGTTTTCAATAAGTTGTTTACAAAAAACAATGAGATCCCACACGATCTTGGGGACCAAAATCTGATCTTTATTTATTCTTTAAAAGTACTAGTTATATCTTTTCCCTTATTTTCCTATCTTTTCTGTTTTTGTTCTTGATTATATGAAATTTGAAAATTTCTCTAGAAATCAAGAGGGCACAACTTAGTGTGTTCAACATATGAAATCTAAACAAGATTCATCTCTTTTTTCACCAGGTATAGCGATCACAATTTTTCATTGTGAAAATCCATGACAGCCATTTTGTTTTATTGATCAGTTCTAACATTTAAAAAGGGCATACCTAGGGCCCACTGGAAACCTAAACAAGAAATCTGAGAAATGAATCCTAAATCAGCCTAAAAGAGAGAGCACGATTAGGGACCAAGGCAAGCTTACACATGAAATTTGATAACAAGAAGCCCAGCGGCCTTGAAGGTTACCTGAGACAAGCAATATTGAATAGAAAGGTTAAAGGATAGTTATCAAGTGTCATGAAACAGAATATGTGACAATGAACATATCATCAAAACTGTCATTCTATACTGATAATTTTTCCAAAGTTATTTCCAGTGGCAAATAACCAACATCATCCTCAAAAATACAATTTTTGGCAATAAAAATTACTGTCTAAAAAAAAAGAAATGTGAGGCTCATTTTGGTAATTAAAGCACTTTAAGAGTCTTCCATCCATGAAGAGCATTCGATTCTACCATATCTGGGTTTTGAGAAGAAGATTATTGAAATTTTAGTCAATTTGACCCCTTTTGGTCCCATCCATCAGCCCCTGGGGGTCAGTCAGGAACAAAATGGGTTACTATCTAGCTGTTATCCTTTACTTATAATTCTATTTAAAATTGAAGTATTTCCAATGGAAATCAAATAAATTATGCTCAAAAATCTAGTTTTCCTATATAGGTATAGTAAAACCCTTCCCAACTGGGAAATTTGAGACCCTGGGGCAATGAAATTCACAATTTTGGTAGAGGACCTTAAGAGTCTTCTATTCATGAAGAGCATTTGATTCTACCATATCTGGGTGCTGAGAAGATTTTTGAAATCAGAATCAATTAGACACATTTCGGCCCAGTCCCTCAGATCCCTAGGGGACTGTATGCTTCACAATTTTGGTTCATCTGAGGCAATGGAAGGTTTCTGTAAAATTTTATTGAAATCGGATCAGTGGTTTTTGAGAAGTTGAAAATGTTAAATTGTTTATGGACACATGATGCAGGAGGATGGTGATTGTAATTGGTCACCATAAGACATTTTGTCTCAGGTGACCTCATGATACATCCAATCCTTCTCCAGAAATTATTTGAAAAGTCGTCTCAATATTGTGGGCTTAAAAGACAATAGCTCTCTTAAGAGACAGGCCCACTTAAGCAGACAATAATAGCTGTCTGCAGTATCTAGGTAGGCATTTTGTAAAGGATAAAATGGATATTGTTTAGCATCTACTGAACAACATTATCAACTTAAGGATGAAGTGCCAGGTTATCTACCTGGTACTTCTACTTGGTATATCAAACAATTATACACTCCTTTTAAATTTTAGACTATGAAAAAATTAATTTAATACAGCTTTGGGTTTATCATGATAATAGCTAAATGGATACCAAAATTGATTTCTACAGAAATTCAAGCGCCCATGACTGGAGCCACTGAACAAGCTACTGTCAAAAGACAAGAGAATTTACAAAGTCTCAGCTAAACTGAAACAAAAGATGTTGTGACATTACTGCTGACAGCAGTCATTAAGGTAAAAATCTATTTTACACTAAAATATGGTGGGGAAAAAATACAATATTGGTGAGGCAAATAAGTTGTCCTTGCATCATTCCCAGGATAGCCTTAAAGACTCAAATCTTCAGCCTTACATAACGATATAGGAAGTAATAAAACCTAACCCAGACTTTACAGTGTTCAAAATTCCACTATAATTTGCCACAACTGAATACAACTTGTATTAAGCAGGTTGATGTTTCATATTGATTTCTCACAATGCTACAATCCTAGACAACATGCTGTGATTTTTAAAAAATGAAGTTTTCTGTTATTCTAAAAACAGTCCTCATACCATATGGACATGTCATCTGCCACTCATTAACCACTACAGGGTTGTTACTGTTGTGTCATTAGAATTTGAGTGGAGGTGGTGGGTGGGTTTCAATTATATCTGGTAACCCTATAACATGATTATACTATAACAAGGGAAGTTCATGTCTCTCCTATCAAATACTTTCATGAAACTTCTTAATTAAAATGTAGATAACAAAATAGGAATTAATGGACGTTGTTTTTCAGAAAAACCCATTTCATTCCTGATTTTTCAAAATTTCATTTCTTCTTTATTTTGAAACTTTAAATAGTTAAAATCAAGCATATTTGTGAAACTGATACATGCTTCCCGAAAACAACTCCATTGGACACTATTTTTTACCAAAGGGCAATAATTCTGTAATTGAAGGGTTGCAGGCCCTGCATTCAGTATATAGGACATTCTCTTCCTATGACTAATGTCTACATCAAATTTGTCATCCTCGTTTTAATACAAATTTATGCTCATGACTCAAAATTTTAACAAAGGGCAATAACTCTGTACTGAGGGGTCATTGACACTAACTTTGCTACACTACACCTTGCCTTTGTATGACTGATGTATACATCACCTTTCATTATCCTAGTTTAAATGCTGACCAAATAATGCTCATGACATAAAATTTTAACAAAGGGGAAACACTCTGCAATTGAGGGGTTGTGGGCCCTAACATTGGTACACTGCACATTGTCTTAGTAAGATCAATGTATGCACTAAGTTCCACGATCCTTGCTTGAATGTGAGTTAAGTAATGCTCTGGACACAAATAGAAGTGCAGATGGAGGGACAAGGGACTATATGCATAACAACATATCTGAAGAATTGTTTTATTGAAGTGGCTGTTAAAACTATTAGAGACCTTTAGAAAGCTGCCTTAAGAACTGGCATCAACAAGAAAACCCTGACAGACCTGTACAGTTTTCCTAGCCAAGAGACCATTATTTTCCGATTTTTTCACCTCCCATGGACATTAAATGTCTGAATAATGTCTAGAATGATTCTCAAAAAATTGAGCAGAATTTCTGGTGATCAGTTTCCTTCGATTTGTGTCCCGACACTCACACCAGAGCTATGACATGGTCAATTAAGATAAAGAGGAAGGTGAACACCAGACAATGGCACTTGTCGTCATGGTAACAAGATGATAGATGTACTCACCATCACACTTAAGTCCTTGGTGAATAAGACCGTAAAGCAGAGATCCACAATGGTCACAAAATGTAGGACTTCCATAGGTGTGCAGTTTGAACTTGTGCGAATTTGTGGACTGTAAAACAATATGAAAAAATTACTCATAAAAACATGTGACCATAATTTCAAATTATCATTTCAGTTAATAATAATGAAATTTTGGTAAATACTAAAAATATTAGCAAATGCTCAAATAACGATTGTAGACAAAGTTCATAGCTTCTATCATGATGATGTATACTGGTTTTGTTTTTCCACAATGTAATGATAACCACGAGTAGCTTTAATTAACTCGTGGTCGTGGTAATTAAATCTTCTTATATTGTATTCTTTTTCAAAAGTAAATAAAAAAATATCTCTCTGTAAGTTCCCAAATATATTGCATTCAACACAGGGAGAATTATATTCCTTTATCTGCTAGATAAGGATTATCTCCCCTTTTCGGTATGTGGATCAAATCTCTTCAAAAATTACTGATTTTTTAATTACTTGATAAGAAAACGTTAGTTACTACTACTTACAATGAATTCTAAAATTTAATTAGGATTGTGAAGCACACAGCACGCTTGCTAAGTAAAATACGGTATAGTTAGGTAGACTGGAAAAGCCCTAAACTCTAAATATAAACCCACTGCAGAAGAATTGAGGTAATAAGGAATATGGTTTAGACTGTGTACATTGTGAAAGTAAGATAGATCTATCAAAGCAAGGCAAATCACAACAAAATATATGTATATAAATTGTTATACAGGTTTTGATAATAAGGAATATGTTATGAAGTGATGTGTTATAGAGATGTTCCATCATAGTGTTCATACCAATTATCGACAATTTCATGTCTTAGATCAAGTACATATATTAATGGTCAAAGATGATATATTTGTATTTGAACTAAAAATGCATGGCACAAATAAATGTTTTATTTTGAAAGCTTTGTGTGCTTTTAAACATAAACCATTACCACACAATGACCTAATTAAATGATTTAAACCTACATGATCTTTTTAACTTGACATCATTTAATTGTCCAAAGAAGTAATTGTTTTTATTAGTAAATTGGTCTTCACCAACATGACCAGATTTCAAGGCTCTGACTCTGAATGGATATCAAAATATTTTGTATGTTTTTGGCCTGGTATTCCATTTTTCAAGACTTACCAAAACACGACCACCCAAACATCCAATCCTCCTTGTCCACACCCAACCCTCGAAACCCCCTTTGTCCACACCAAACTTTCAAACTCCCTCTGACCACTCCCAACCTTCCAACTCTCTCTGTCCATACTCAACCCTCCAACTCTCTCTGACCACTCCCAACCTTCCAACTCTCTCTGTCCATACTCAACCCTCCAACTCTCTCTGACCACTCCCAACCTTCCAACTCTCTCTGACCACTCCCAACCTTCCAACTCTCTCTGACCACTCCCAACCTTCCAACTCCCTCTGACCACTCCCAACCTTCCAACTCCCTCTGACCACTCCCAACCTTCCAACTCCCTCTGACCACTCCCAACCTTCCAACTCCCAACCTTCCAACTCTCTCTGTCCATACTCAACCCTCCAACTCTCTCTGTCCATACTCAACCTTCCAACTCTCTCTGTCCATACTCAACCTTCCAACTCTCTCTGTCCATACTCAACCCTCCAACTCTCTCTGTCCATACTCAACCTTCCAACTCTCTCTGTCCATACTCAACCCTCCAACTCTCTCTGTCCATACCCAACCTTTCAACTCCCTCTGTCCATACTCAATATTCCAGCTCCCTCTGTCCATACTCAACCTTCCAACTCTCCCTGTCCATACTCAACCTTCTAACTCTCTCTGTCCATACCCAACCTTTCAACACCCTATGTCCATACTCAATATTCCAGCTCCCTCTGTCCATACTCAACCTTCCAACTCCCGCTGTCCATACTCAACCTTCCAACTCCCTCTGTCCATACTCAACCTTCCAACTAACTCTGTCCATACTCAACATTCCAACTCCCTCTGTCCACACTCAACCTTCCAACTCTCTCTGTCCATACTCAATATTCCAACTCCCTTTGTCCATACTCAACCTTCCAACTCCCTCTGTCCATACTCAACTTTCCAACTCCCTCTGTCCATACTCAACTTTCGAACTCCCTCTGTCCATACTCAACCTTCCAACTCCCTCTGTCCATACTTGACCTTCCAACTCTCTCTGTCCATACCCAACCTTTCAACTCCCTATGTCCATACTCAATATTCCAGCTCCCTCTGTCCATACTCAACCTTTCAACTCTCTTCTGTCCATACTCAACCTTCCAACTCTCTTCTGTCCATACTGAACCTTCCAACTCCCTCTGTCCATGCCCAACCTTTCAACTCCCTCTGTCCATACCCAACCTTCCAACTCCCTCTGTCCATACCCAACCTTCCATTTTTTTATATATATCATGCTATACCTTTATATACATGGATCTTCCCTACTACTGCCTTAGAAAAAAGAATTACATTAAAATTTATCAAATTTTATGATATTTAACAATACAAGATGTTCAAGGTACTTTAATTGCTTATTGTGCATGTATTTTCTTAACTGTCAGGTTTATATAAAAAAATTAAAAGAAACCAATACCAAAATAAAGATTAATGATTATATATCATATTCATCAAAGAAATAAGAAGATGGTGTGGTTTGGACTCCAGCTGGACTTTACAGCATTTAATGAACTTTACATTAATGTATTGTAAACCTCATATGTACAATATTTTACATCCCTTTTTACATCCTTGAATGCAGAAATACAAAAGAAAAAAACCCTTTATTCAACTAATGAAATCATGGAATACATATATAGTAACCTTTATTTATAAGACTATTTATCAAATATAAAATTGGTACTGAAGAGAGAATGTGGCACAGCCAATCATACCTATAGAAGGCAGCACAATAAAGTGCCTGCCACTCTCCAATACAGAATTAATTTACATCACAACCAAGTTAGTGCTAGCTACAACTGATTTAGTATTGGCTGTGTATCTGGCATATCAATCAATCAAGCCAATGAAATATATCTAGTCCAGAGTATGTGACGGGCCAACTATTTTATCTATTATACTGACTGTTAATATAAAGTTTAGTGACACACAATATCTCATAGGATTAACTAGGTCACAGTGATCCTTATGTCCTTCATATAACTGATAAATTAATTTTCTGTTATAATAACTGAGACTACCAAATTATCATGGTTTACCAAAGTCACAGAGATCCACATGACCTTATTCTTACTGATAACCTAGGTCACATAGATCCTCATGACCTAATTGTTACTGATAACCTAGATCAAAGAGATCCAAATGACCTAATTGTTACTGATAATCTAGGTCAGAGATCCACATGACCTAATTGTTACTGATAATCTAGGTCACAGAGATCCACATGACCTAATTGTTACTGATAACCTTGGTCACATAGATCCTCATGACCTTATTGTTACTGATAACCTAGGTCACAGAAATCCACATGACCTAATTGTTACTGATAACCTAGGTCACATAGATCCACATGACCTTATTGTTACTGATAATCTAGGTCACAGAGATCCTCATGACCTTATTGTTACTGATAACCTAGGTCACAGAAATCCACATGACCTAATTGTTACTGATAACCTAATTAACAGTTAACTGCACTGCCTCTCAGTATCAATGATTATCTATTTACCAATGGCTCAATAACTGCTTCTATTGGACATTTTCTCCTCAGAACAGAAAGTAAATATCTATGCTAAGCATAAATCCACTTCCCATGCAATTTGTCAGATATTGTAATCAACAAGTTTCTTAGAAATGTAATACCTCTCTATTTCAGTCGAAATTAAAATTTGAAATTGCTTCTAATAGGAATCCTCACACTGATACAATGATGGGACTACATATCCTGAATATGACAAAGGCCAATAAATTTAAACAGATCAGAGCTAGAGCAGCACAGATATTGACAGAGCAATACCATAAATATTTCACAGTGAAATCATTCTATTTCATCAATCTAATCTGTTACAGAGACACCTCTACACCAAACTTTTAAAACATTTTTGAAAACTAATCAAAATCCATTTAAAAATTGCAGGCACCTCTCTCTCCCGATGACAACTGTAGTCTCCTGTCAAAAACTTAAGTTTGTATTGCAATTGATCTATAATTTTCATTTTCGAAAATTCCTCTTGGTAGCGTGATCCAGGAGTATTTTGGAAAAATTCCATCTCATTGCTTCTGACAATTGTTCATGTGTGCATTTCTCCAGACAATATGCCTTCAAAGATCTAGTAAAAACATCAAAAATTTATTTTTGAAAAATGCTGAAAAGATGTTTTCCAATATGTCTCGTATTGCTACCATCAATTACACAATGATCACATCATTCTAATGGATCGTGATCACATCACACGAAGGGTTCCCGCAGGATTCAGATGTTTTCTTGTTTGTAAAAAAAAATATGAATTAGTCAAGAAATAAATTCTCATGTGTAGTAAAATCTTGTGCAACAGACATCCATTGTTGCCATCTGCTACTGGTGAGAATAGTTCCTCTGTAGATTTTCAGAGTCTACAGGATGAGTATTACAAGGCTCTTTAGTAACTGCTTCTGCTAGTCTCTTATCCATTGAGTAAGTAATGTAAGTGAGTGTAATGCGGAGTTGGCCACAGTTCAAAGGGCAGAGGTTAGAATCCCAGTGGAGAATTGCTTTGATGATATGCCATTCAGATTGCTGTTACCTGATAATTGTGATGTATGAGTAATGGAAATATCTATTGCATTTGGTCAGTCCAGTCCTGTTACCTTCTTATACACTAGGACAATGAAAAGACCTAATTCTGTAAGAATGACCAGTGTTTTTTCCTCAGAGACCATATCAATCACATCTTGTAATCATATCAATTACATGTTGTAATCATATCAATCACATGTTGTAATCATGTCAATCACATGTTGTCATCATATCAATCACATGTTGTAATCATATCAATCACATGTTGTAATCATATCAATTACATGTTGTAATCATATCAATCACATGTTGTAATCATGTCAATCACATGTTG